TAAGATCAACTATTCTAAATCTTTTTAGCAAGAAAATGCAATAAATGCAAGGCGTAGCTAGAAAATTGTTCACGGTGCGTATACGTAATTGGGCTCGTCTATTTCAAGAACTTGAGCAATGTTATCTGCAAATAATTACGTGACGCAGTTCTGTTTCACTGTTTTTTTTTTTTTTATCTAAAATAAATAATGCTGGCAAGCTAATTCGTTATTTTTTTTTTTAAATAAATATTTAGTTAGTTAGATATCCCGTTTATTCATAGTTAAAGCTTAGAAACTATTCAATTTTTTTACATTTTTTATAATATATATTTTTGGAAACAACATTTGCGGTTAGCTGCTTTCTTCTGATACTGAATATTTTAACATTTCATTAACAGCTTTTCTTACTTCTTTTGCTGCCTAGTTTTTAACATGCTCTGTTAATAGAACAGATTAAGCTCTGTTAGCTCTGACAGAGCAGATTCTGAGCAGATAATGCTGACAAGTTAAGTCGTAAATTTTGGGTTATTTTATTTAATAAATAATATTAGATAGTTAGATACCCTGTTAATTCATGTGCAAAGCTTAGATTTTAGTCACTGATTAAATTTTGTTTTATGTAGTTTTCAAATAACTTAAGACATATTTGGTTAGGTTTGCTGTTCGTCACATTTCCTTAACAGTTTTTCGAATTCATGTCCAGCACTTACTATCTTGTTGTTAAGTTCTATTTTACTGTTATTAACATTTCTATTAATTAATATTTCATTAGCAGTTTTTCGAACTACTTTTTTGTGCTCGGTTAACAGAGCAGACTATCTAAAGTGTTTGTTATTTAACATTTAATTAACAGTTTTTCGTACAACTCATACTGTTTAGTTTTTAACATGCTCTGTTAACAGTGTAGTTTATGCTCTGTTAACTAGGCTACCCTGCATTGAAGCGCTGTTCTCCGAAGAGAACGCAATAAATGTTGTGCAATTTCACGAGTTGTTTGTTTCCTGACGTACTCCCGTTTTCCCACGTGGCTATTGGCGCATTATATAGAATGACATAATGGCTAACACACAGCCGATAGATAAGATTACAGCCCGCAGTTAAATATTATCTTTATTTTAATGGTAAATCAAAATCGCCCCAGTCATTGCATTGATCTTCAATTTCAACACAAACTAAAAACTTTTTTATTATTCACAATATTTTTGTTGTTAACTTTTTGTTCTATATTAGAATGTTATCGTAATGGTCAACACACGCGGCTGTTGGACCCATTATCAAAGACAATCGAAAAAAAAAACAGCAGGAGGGCCCTGAAATGACGCTAATGCAGCGTGATTCATTCTGGTGCAATAAGTGGGCCCCATTAACAACTGTTTTTGTTTTTATATACATACACACACATTTATCTATATATATATATTGTTTTTGTTTTTGCTGCCCCCGGAGTTCTGGGAAACGCAGCAATGTCAGAAAGTGCCTAGCATTAATGTAATGTCCCCGAGGTGTCAAGGCCTTGGTATGCCGCCCGGAAATATGCCAAAAGTCATAACAGAAGGTTAGCTAAAATTGTTGTTAAGTAATTGTTTTTCTGTTTAGTATAGATATAGTAAAAATGGGGATTTCTCTTTTATGGTTGAGAAATATATTGATTGATAGCGAGTTTTTTATGTTCAGCAATATTTATCTCTCAATATATTATTTGTTTGTATTTATTTGGTTGTGAAATGTTTCGCCTAATAGAAAAGTGTTCATTTTTTAAATTCAACAAAGGTCTATATATTATTATTTTTTTATAATTCATATTATTATTATTATTAATAATATTATTATATATATTTTGCTTAATTCGTTATTTCCAGGACAAATTCTTAGAAATAATTGATATTATTAAAAAACTTATTTTAAAATTATATATTTTTTATTTTTATTTTACTTTTATATAATTATATAATTTTAATTTATTTTCTTATGTTATATTTTTATTTTATTTTTTATGTCATTTTTTTTATTTTTATTTTAAGTAACTTTTTTTTTTAATATTTAAATGTATTTTCTTTCATTTTCCTACATAATGTTTTTATTTTATTTTTATGTAATATTTTTATTTTATTTCTTTTAATATTTTAATCTTTTTATATAATATTGTTATTTGATTTTTTATGTACTTTTTTTTTTTAAATTGTATTATATAATATTTTTATTTATTTTGTATGTAGTATTTTTATTTGATTTTTTATATTCTATATTTATTTTGTTATATTATATAATATTTTTATTTATTTTTTATGTTATACATATTTTTTTTTATGCAATAATTTTATTTTATTTTTTTGTAATAGTTCATTTTCTTTTTTTATGGTTTAATTTAATTTTATTTATTTAAAATATTTGTGTTTTATTTTTTATTTAATATTTAAATCAGTCTTTTATGATTTATTTTTAATTTGCATGTAATATTTTTATTTTCTTTGTTATATCTAATATAAGAAAAACATTCATAAAATCACATGATAATTTGCACAAAATTCATTTGAAAACTATTTAAAGTATATGAATATGAATATTATCATGAATTTGGCAGCTATTAGGCTGTTTAATGTGGGGGCTGCTGTGGGCTGGTCCACGCCCACCACGTGTCTAATGACTCAAGCAGCTGGCAAGCGCCCAGACGCGGACCAACATAAACTGTCGCCTGCAGCCCGGCAACAGCCAATACATATGCACATTTGCTATCGGATACGTACAGAGTGAGTGAGAGAGAGAGAGAGAGGGATATATAGGAAAGAGTGAGAGAGCGAGGCAGACATGCAACAAACTCTTGAGTGTCCGGCGCCGCCTGCGTCCTCTGCATGTGCAGCATGTGTTGAAAACTATGGCACGGCCTCCGATGCCAGCTGTTGAAAACCGTTGCACGGCCGCCACACGAGCAGCTTTGGCTGCTGCTGCTGCGGCTACTGCTGCTGCTGCGGCTGTTGTTGTTGTTGTTGTTGCCGTTGCCCTTTGCAAGCGAGAACGTTGCAGACATTTTGGGTTTGAGTTTTATTTTGTGTATTTTTTTGCTCGCTGCCGTTTCTGTTGGTGTTGGTCGTTGCCAAAAAGGGATGAAGCTTGAATTTATTGCACCGTTGAAAAACGTACGCCCCCCGCAGCAGCAGTAGCAGCAGAGGCCGCGGCCTCGGCCTCGGCGGCTGCGTCGACTGCAACGCAAACAGCGGAAATGCTTGACGCAGGCTGCGCGCTGCTGCTTCAGCTGCTCTTCTTCTTCTTTGGCCGCTGCATTTATTGAAATTTCTTCAACATTTTCGCCGAATTTCGAAGAACTTCTTATTTATGCATTATAATTTAAATTTTATTTTCTGTTGCCGCTTGACTATAAATGTTGGCCGACAAAAGAAATCTCTCGGGTCAACGCACTACGTTAAATAACGACAGCAACAACAACAACATATAATGGCTGCATTTGATGGAGTGCAGCAGGGGTGAAGGGGGGGGGGGGCGCCCCCGCAGACAGGCCAAAAGATACGCAGAGGTAACAGAGAGTCGATTGCTGCCAGCGCAGTGGGGTATGCAACAGCAGACATTGGCTATAAAGTTCGGGGCATTGACTTGCTAAAGACAGTACGAGCATTGTCCAGCGAACTGTTGGAAAATTTGACATTTTACGTTATGTAAATAATATAATTAATTAATGTTTATCACTTCTCAATTTAATATACTTATCTTGTTACAAATAATAACAGGCTAGCCGTATAGAATTTGATTGCTAGTCGATATTTTTTATAATCAGCTTACGTGTATTTACTGTATCTCTTTTATTTACCGCTACAAAGTTCAACTTGTCCTATGCCAATTTATTGCGCCTTGCACTTTGTATCATGTGATCTTTAATCTTTAGTTATCTGGGTTTTTAACGCGATGTTGACTAAGGCATCGAAATGCTTCGAATCATGCTAACAAATCACAAATTGAGTCTGTCCCCCAGCATTACACATACACACATGCACACATATATATGTACGTCACAAAAAAAGCTGTGATAACACAAATACGGCAAAAACAACTGACCAAATACAAGAAAGAATAACAACAACTGCGATAAGAACCAAAGCAAAGCCAAAACCAGCAGCAACAGCAACAACAACAAGAACAAGAACAACAATGCAAATTGAACGGCCGACACCGCCGCACGAATTATATTCGTGTGCGTAGATATCATAATAAAAATTTTATTGAGTAAGTTGAGCGCGTTTGTCGCCGCTGACGCTGTCACTGCGCCTCAGTCGACGCTAACGCCAACGCAACAATGGCAATTGCCGAAAATAACATAGCAATCGCAACAACAACAACAACAACAGCAACTCGACATTTCGGCTGCAAAAAAATACTGCCTCAGCTTCTGTGTGTATGCGTTAGAGGCAGCAGCTGCTGTCTCAAATGCCGGCTTACGCACGCACACTTTTACGTGCGCACACATACACACTCATACGTGCATACGCAACGCTTTCATTCTTCAGTTGCGCTGTCGCTGCTGCTGCTGCTGCTGCCGTCGCTGCCGCCATTCAATACCGACGCCAGCTGCGCAGTCACAGCTACGCCGCCGCTAGCTGCGCTGCCAGCACGTTGTTCTCGGCAAATTTTGAACGCTGGCCGCCATTTCGTATTTCTCAGCGAGCTGGCGACGCGTCAACACAGCACACGGCAGCGTTTCTGTTCTTGGAAGAACTTTCAATAGTATTAGAAAGCTTTTAACTGTGCATAGCTAAGCAAAAGCTGCTGTTTAAATAATTAAACATAAGAACAAGAAAATTATAAACGTTATATGATCTCCATTGCCTTATTGTTTAGTGTTAAAACAAAAAAAAAATCAACGCAAAAACTAAATCTAGCAAATGTTTTAATATTTTCTTTAACAAAAAAAGTGCAATTCTTAAATCAATTTGTGTTTTTGTATAAACTGTAAATTGTTTGTTTAACAAAAGACTGATAACGAATATATATTTTAATATTAAATATAAATTAATAAATGCAAAAGTGTATCAAGAATATTGCTAAAAATATAACCTAGAAAAAAGCTATAAAATAGTATGCGATAGGCAAACATTTACAACAACAACTGAGCAAAGTATAAAAATCAGAAATACTGAAGTATACGTGTATGTATGTATGTATGCGCATATACATAGTATATAACCTAGGTCAATATTGTTTATAGTGGCGTGTGAATGTGCGCAACAACAAAGCGCTAATAGCTCAGCAACAGCAAAAACAACAAAAATAAACAACAACAACAACAGCAATCATAGAGCTGCGCAGCTACACATACATGCAAATAATCAAAAGCAGCAAAGATAATAAATAACACACACACACACAAGCACATGCCAACGTTTGATACGGAAATTCGCCGCCGCAGCAACACCACCACCAACAACAACAACGAGCGCAAATTAAACTTGAAAATATATACATACATATACAAAAATTGTATAAAAACGCTGGCATTAGACGTTAGCAGCAGAACGAACGCCAAGCAGCGCGCCGCTAAAGCTTAAGGCAGCGTCTCACACCCACATGCACACACACACACACACACATACATATGTTCGTATGTGAATATAATTCGTAAATACGGCTCGCAATTATAAAACACAAATCTCTCGCTCTCGCTTACACAACGATTAAGAACAGTCAACTTTTGGCTGCGTCAACTGCGCCGCTCGATTCTTATACAATTTCAATATCAGACCGCAACGATCGCTTCGTTCGCCCAGTCGACGCTGTCGCCTCGCGTAACATACTTCTGATTCTAACGGACACACACTCTAAGCGCATTTGCTAATTTGCCCGAGCGACAAGTGCGAACTCGAATTCGCCAATAGAGAGAGAGGGGCGACGCTTACGATTCACGATTTGCGGCGACTCTTTTTTTTCTGACGCCTCGCCTCGAGTGCGCAACAGCGAAAAAGTTCTACAAAACATTTGCCCCTTGTCTATTCGCGCGACAACAAGTGTTTTTTTTAACAAAATAACAGTACAATCAACATAATATTTGTGACAAAAGAAAAATATCCACAAATTTAAATATATAAACAAAAAAAACAAGCTTAAAGCAAAACAAACATTTGGATCTGCAATTTGGAATTATTTAGAGAGGCGCAAGGAGTATTATATTAACTTCTATTGTGGATTTTGTTTCAATTTTATGGTGAGTTTATAGAAAAAATACAGAATATTTAAAAAAAATACGTATATAATATTTAAAAAGAAAACGTATATGTTTTTTTTGTCACTCATTAAATTGTCTATTATTATTGTTAAATTATGAAATTATTAAAATTTTTAATAAAAACTTTTTTAACAACAAATAAATTAAAAACTTTAACATTTAATATAAAATTAAAAAAAAAAAATAAAGATTAAAAAATCAAAAATTTGTTAAAAAAAAAAATATGTAAATATGTTTTTATTGCAATTTGCATAAAACTTTTATTTTAAATTAAAAATTAAAAGAAAAATTTAGAACTATTTTCCTTAAAAAAAAATCCACATTTATAAATCTTTCAACCAAACAAAAAAACTTTACAACTATTTTGCTTTAGACGTATTATTTTTTTAATATTTTTAACCAAATATAAGTTTAATACTTTTTTGGTTTATCATAAACAGAAATATTTTCAATGCATAATCTTGTTCAATTAAACGCATCTGCGTATACTTAATATAGAGCTTTTGTTATTTCGAAGATTTCACAATAATGCACAATTTCTGGAAATACACTAGATTAAGCTTTTAAGAAATCATTATTACATCAGGCTATAATTACGCATACGCCCCATGACTCGCAGAAAAGAAATCTGTTTTACTCTGATGATGATGAATTTCTCTATATTTATGATTAGAGCAATGCAATGGCATTTATGCCTAATCGACCAAAATACAGACCCAACCCAACCCAACCCACCGCCCACTGAAAGAGTCAATCTCGCCTAGACTCCTGATGACTCAGCCCATAGGCCATAGAAGGCACCTCTTGACTCACCATCACCATCATCATCATCCAAGTTCAACCTAATATTAAGTGGTTCTTGGTAATGATCAATTGTGGGGCGTTATATCAAGGGGTTTCCTAAAATTGTGACTCATTTACTGCAATCGAATGAGTCACTTTCTTCAAGTGTGTAAGGATCACACGATTCTCTTTGCGAACTAATTAGCGCTCGTGTATTATTTACTGATAATACATATTTACTGTATAAAGGTTGATAGCACCCAAAATGTATTATCAATAGTGTTGGTCAGTGTTAGTTCTGAAAATTCTATCGGAATATCTATCGTAATAACGGTGAATATCTTAAGTTAATCGATGAATATCGACATAGAACTCTGTTACTGCAAATTTCTACAAATCTTAAGAAATATAAATTGGATAAAGTATTTTAAAAAATGAAGAGCTTAAATAATTTGAGCCAGCTTTAGATTAAAGATGGAATAACTGTGAATATCTTAAGTTAATCGATTAATATCCACATAGAACTCTGCAGTTACAGATTTAACAAAACTTCAAGAAATAAAAAGTAGATGATATATTTACCAAAAAATTGAGTTTAAAATTAAACGAATTTCTTAATAATAACAAATCTTAAAAATGATTTTCCATTTCTCAAAAATTCCAAAGTCTAAAACTTTCAAATGCCCAGCATTAGAATTTGGACTTTCGCCTATGCGATTAATTGGAATTACCCATCAATCTGTGCACATAAAATATCTGCTCTGTTAAATAGACTATATAACATTTATTGATAATACTTTTGACTTGTGCAATTTCTATTGCGATAAAAAAGTCCCGTGCTCAAAAATTCGTTTTCTTTTCGTTTTTTTTTTTTTATCTATTTGCTAATTTTGTGCCTGAAGGTCAGTACCAGCGTCAACAAGGCAAAAAAAAAAAAGAAGAAAAACAATGTATATATTTATAAAAAACAATAACAAAATAATGCGAGAAACAGCAGCAAGCACATGAAATGCCGAAATAATCTTTGAAATTGATATTCGGGGTATTTATGTGTGTTGCACAGGAAATTGTATCGATGCGCGGCGCGTCTAACTGTTAAGTTATAAAAAAAAAAACAAACAAAAAAAAGCCAAAAGCAAAAGCACATTTTACAGCTCTACCCGTCGGTTAGAACCGTGTGCTTTGTTATCGCTATCGGAACCGATTCGACAGTTGATTTGCGTAGGTGGCGCACGGCTCGCTAAATTCGTGTTGCGGCTTCTCTCTGATAGCTGCGTTCATTCACGTTCCACCTGTTGTTATCGTTGTCTTATCGATGCGGCATTTAAATGTATCTGCTGTGTGCTGAGCTGCTTTTTATGAATGGGAGCTCTGTCGTGCTTAAAGTTAACTTTTTCACTTTTTATAGCCCAATTGATTGTGTTCAGCTTGATTACAATCGGTTATCGAACAATAACTATATAGTCAAGTGATGACAGCTTCTAAATTTAAAGAATTGCATATTTTAATGTGCAGATATTTTTTAATGCACTTCCTTGTTTGATTTTTTTTTTAGAAATATGTGAGCATTTTAAATCTCTGTTAGTTTAACAGTTATTGTTACTGTTAATGGTAATGTTACTGACTATGTTATTGTTACTGTTACTGTCACTGTTACCGATATTTGGTAATTATTTTAATTAAATTATGTTTATGAAAACATAAACATAAGCAAGAAAAAAAAACAGTTTTCAAAGTAGATCTATTTTATGCTCAAATATAGTTTAAATTTATTTACATATTTTTCTTATTTTAATTCACACAATTTAAGGAATTTCCTATCATTGCAAAGCACAATTTAAAGATCATTTCATTTAACGTATTTTATCATAATATCTACCCTAGTAAATATGCTTTCCCAAATCGCACAATATTTCAATCTTTATAAGCACAATTTGTCCTGTCTTAATCGATTTATATTCTATACGTTTGTTTTTTATGTATGCCCTGAAATTCCGAGAACCTTTGCACTACCGTAAAATACTATTGACTCTCACTTATGAAGCATTCCTTAAGCACACACACAGTGAAACCAACGATTAACGACTCTCAAGTGCCGCCAATAAACACGTAAACTTTCCACCCAAAACGTTTGCGCTGAAAGCGAAAAGTCTTTTTAGCAGTAACAAAAAAAAAAATCGAGAAAAATAGCATAAAAATTCCATTTATGGCTTATCAGCAAATTTTATTTCGTTTCTTACCCAACAAATTTGTTTATCTGCAGAGCTTACAGTTAATTCATAAACTTATCAATAATTTGCAATGATCACACCGCAAAGAGAAACGTTTTTTTTTTTTTTTTTTGAGGGGGGGTTGCAGAAGGAAATGTCAAAATAGGTTTTATTGTGTTCGCCGACCCTTTGCCTACCCCATTAAATTTCGTATTGCAGCACACAAAGCACACACAAAAATTCAGTTGAGTATCTGACGGATACACACTGCCCAAAAGATGATTCTAACACAAAAAGCCGGTTCGCAGACATGCGTAAAGCAACGTTTGCTTTGTGCTTAAGTCTGTGTGTGTGCGTGTGTGTGTGTGTGTGTATCTGTGTGCTTGCTGCCGAAATTTTATGTTATATACATGCATGCATATGTATGTGTGTGTGTGTATATATATCATATAGCAGCCCGCACAGCCCGTCGCATTTCCTCAAAAACTGCCGACTCGATCCGCCATATTTATAATACCCTATACGAACTGCTTATGAATAAAAAAAGGGTATATTGTTGCTTTTGCAACTGTATGTAAAAGGCAGAAGAAGACTTCTACGAATCTGGCTCTATAAAAAGCTCAATTTTAGAGCCTAACAGCTTATATATAATTAACGTGCACTTGCGTGTTATCGATATCGATAAATATCGATATTCAGCCGAGCGTTTGATCTTTTTTTGATGAAGAGCTCTAGATCTAGGTTCTGGAATCTAATAAGGTTATTTATATGTACATATATTATATATCCTCGTCTGGTTCTATAAGTTTTTATATAATTAACGAGCATATGCCTGTTATCGAAATCGATAAATATCGATATTTATCTAGAGCTCTAGATCTAGATTAGGCATCTTAGTTTTCATAGAGGGCAGGAATATTTCACTGTTTGCACACTAGGAGCCCAGCTACAGGGTATCTCCTAGTCTGCCCTCTTGTTGTTTTTTCTCTTCGTAACATTCACGTTAGTTTGGCTGTTGTTGTTACTGTAAGAATTCTTGAAAGTTCTTTGCCTGTATTTCCGCTTTATCATGATACTATATAAACATATGTATATACTTTAACCAAACGGTTTTTTGTTTTTTTGGGTTTATTTGTGAAATAATTTTCTATGTATAAAAAATTGTTGACCTTGGTTAACAATTTGCGCATGTATTGCTTATATAAAAAGCCGATATTTACTTATATCGCTTTCAGCTTTATATGGCATACATATGCATATGTACATATATATGAATGTATGTATGTACATCTATACATCTATACATACATATGTTTATTTCTTTGTTCTAATTGCCAATTCTGACTAAATAAAGTGAGCTGTCCCGTCATTCTATTGGTTTTCTGTTTGATTCATAGTGTTTTTGTGCTCTGTGGTCAGGTTTTTTTTATTTTTTTTTTTATTTTGTATATTTTTTGTGAATTGTGAAATCGCTGATTTGTGTTTTTTTTTCGCTTAGTAACGGCGCATAGACCTATGTATTATCGTCACTTTCGTGGAAATTTTAAAAATCACTTTTTAGAATTAAAGATGTCAACGGGGTCCTATGCATGGTATATTTCGCAAATGTATGTACGAATGTGTGAATATGTTTAGAATGTTAAGAATGCCTTTTCATACAAATTCTCTGAAAGTCTCCAGGGAATTTTATAAACAAATGCATATACATATATGTAGGTATTTTTGTTTAGTTTCGTTCACAGAACACAAATATGTACATACATATACTATATGTACATATGTACATTCCCAATTCCATTTTCAATGCTGCGCAACAGGATTTTGGAAAATTTACACGTTTTATATTATCTTAATATATTTATATGTACATACATATATCTTGGAATTTTTCAAACATCTTTCCTAAACATTCTGGGTTTTCCGTAATTGCATTTACTTATGTACTTCTACATAATTATGTATGTATGTACATGCATACATACATAC